TCAGTGTGAACACGGACAGGATGGGGCCCGTCAGTGTGAACACGGACAGGATGATGGCCCATCAGTGTGAACACGGACAGGATGATGGCCCATCAGTGTGAACACGGACAGGGCAATGACCATCAGTGTCAACATGGTCATAACCACTCCCTGGACATGTCCTAATGTTTATTTAGCTTATATTATAAAAGGGAGCTCTGGTGGCCTAGTGGCAAGAAGCTGTGCTGTAGTCCTGAAGGCACATGTTTCAAGGCCACCAGCTTGTCTGTGGGAGAAGGGTGGGCAGTCTCCTCCCATGAGAATAGCTGCCTCCAAAAACCCACTGGAGGGTCCACTGTGGGTTGGTTCCAACTCTGTAGTACATGACAACAACATACAGTAAAAACATACAATGCAGATTATTTTAATGGGATATAAACTATAGAGCTATATTTTTTAAATAAAATTTTTATTTCATACTGGTTTGCTTACAAAGTTCATATACATTGTTTTTCACATTGGATCTTTCCCGTTTCCTTTACCCACACCTTCCTTTACCTATCAAATCATGTGATCACCACCCCCTCACTCCTCACCTCTCTGCTCCTACCCTCCCTCTCCCCCTGGATCCTCAGTTTTACTAGTTAACTTTCTCTTTCTACAATAATGGTCTCATATAGTATTTGTCCTTATGGACTGAGTTCACTTAGCTGAATTAGAGCTATTTCTTAAATAAACAAGAACGAGGAATGGGGTCTGTATTCAGATGTAGGCACGAGGTGTCTCAGATGCCCAGCTTCCGAGTGGGGACGGCAGGTCCAGGGAGGACCAGGGTGCCTTCCCTCAGTCACTCAGTGCTTATGCTGGCCCGCCCCGTTTCAGAGCACAGAGGACTTCATGAACATCTGCATCGAGCCAGACACGGTCAGCAAAGGAGACTTTATCACCATCGGGTGAGTGGCCAGCCTGGTCGGTGAACTGCTGGGGTGGACTTCTGTTCAGGGGCTGGAGGGGTGGGGGCAGGGGAAGGACTGGGGTGTGGGGTCTTGCATTCTCCTTTGGGGAGGCTCTGTGGGGGGTAGGGGAAGAGCTGAGGTGTAACGTCTTGCATTCTCCTTTAGTGGGGCCCCGTGTGTCCTGTCTCTTCCTGCCTTCCCCATCACGATCAGGCTAGGGAAGCCTCAGATCTCAGGTCACAGAACAGAGTTCCTGACCCTGTGTCCTTGTGTGGAGAAGCTGTCAGCTCCTCCAGCTTTTCTAGTCTGCATAGCAGCATAATAGGGCGGTCTCCACCTGAGTGGTAGTGTGGGGTCAGCCCATCTCCTGTGGTGCCGTGCTCCCGCCCCTTGATCGCGTAGCAGGCCCTTGGTCTGACCCCATTGGCTGCCCAGGACTGCATTGGTGGAGCAGGAAGCAGCCTTCCTCCAATCTCAGCCCCTGGGGATGCTGTCTCCATGCCAACAAGCAGCTGCCTGCTGCCTCCTGGGCTCTGCCCCACAGTGCCCCCTGGTGCCCACTTGGGGCTGGATGTTCCTACTTTGCGCAGCCATTCCCTGGCCCAGTGCTCCAGCCTGGGTACGGCCTCTGCTGTCCACCCTCCAGCACGTGGCCTCTGTGCGGGCAGTTGCCTGGGCAGCCTTGGCTTTGCTTCCTGTGTCAGCAGTGGGGGCTTTTCCCTTCTCTGCTGGGGAGCCCCGGCTCAGAGGCCCTGCCCTGTCCTCGTGAGACACTCACAGCTCCACTTTCACACAGCTCCGTTGTCCTGGCGAGGGAGTGCAGGTGGTGTCTGTGTAAGTCGCGCTGCTTGTCCAGACTGTGCTTCTCTGGCGAGTCAAATCCGCCACAACTCCTTGGGAGCAAGATGGGCAGTCTCCTGTGTGATCCACATCCTCAGACACTCGCTGCAGGGTCAGCTCCGGGTGACACTTTGAGACAGGACAGTCACAGTTCAGGCTACTGTTACTGCTGCAGCTACATTGTTTCCTTTGAGTCCCCTGGGAAGGGAAGTGATGTCACATCTATTTTTTTCTGGTTGGCTGAACAGGATACTGGAATGGGACAGTGTTTTAGAAAGCTGCTGAAAATTTCATATCCTAAAGCTCTGGTCTCTGGTGGCCTAGTGGCTGCCCTTGCAGCCTTGGCTCCAACTGCACTACAATCCCAAAGGCCCATGGTTCAAATCCACCAGCTGCTCCACAGGAGAAGGATGGGCAGTCTCCTTCTGTGTGATTAAATGCCTCTGAAAAATCACTGGAGGGTCATGTGTAGGTTGGTTCCAACTTGACAGTACATAACAGCAATAAAGCTCTGGTGGCTTAGAGATAAGAAATTGTGCTGCCAATGCAAAGGTATGCAGTTCAGATCCACCAGCTGCCCTATAGGAGAAATGTGGGCATTCTCCTTCTGTGCAGTTTACTTCCTCTGAATTTACTTTGCATCCATAGCTATAAGGGTGGGTGTGTGCATAAGATGAAAAGTATTATGTAAGAGTGTGTGTGTCTGTGTGTCTGTGTGTGTGTACACAGGGGAAGTGTATACATGGGGGGTGTGTATACGTGGGGGTGCGTACACAGAGTGGGGGTGTATACACGGGGGGTGTATGCACAGGTTTGCTTGTGTACACGGAGGGGTTTGTATACATGGAGGTGTACAGAGGGCAGAGAGATAGCTGTGAACACACGTGTGTGTGTGTGTGTGTGTGTGTGTGTATGTAGATGGGTGTGTGTGTGTACACAGGGCAGGTGTGTGTATACACAGGAGTGTATGTGTGTACACAGGGCAGGGAGGTGGTTGTATATACACGGGGTGTACACAGGATGGTATGTATACACAGGTGTGTCTGCACAGTGGGGGGTGTGTACACAGGGCGGGGAGGAACCTGTATACACAGGATGTGTTTGTGTGTGTGTACATGGGGGATGTATACAGGGTGTGTGTGCACAGGGCAGGGGTGTGTGTGTGTGTGTTGTGTGTGGACACGGGGCGGTGTATACACAGGGTGGGGAGGTGGCTGTGTACTTGGGGAGTGCACACTCCCTGTGTGTGTACACTAGGTGTGTACACACTAGCGTGCTTGGTGGGGCAGTTCTTGGAGCATCAGTCACTCTGAAGGCACAAGTACGTCCCTCTGAAGCTCATTGCCTTTGGGTGGATTCTGAGTCATCGTGACCCTGTGGGTTTTGAAGGCGGCCATCGTTCCTGACACAGGACATGGGGACATGCCACATCTTTCTCCTGTAGAGCGGCTGGTGAGAGAGAATTGCCAGCCTTTTGGTTACCGCCAGGCTTGGCCCCTGCACCCCCAGGACTCCTCATAGCGTGCAGTGGACTGCATGAAGTCCTCCCCCGAAGCAGAATAAACATCTCTCCCCTTTAAGTAATAAAGAGTCGCAGGACCACTGAAGAGCCACTGACCTAAGGAGTGTAGTCTGACTGAGCCAGAGCTTCCTGGCCTGGGATGGGGCCCAGCGCGCTTCCCGCAGTGCTGGGGGTGTCCACACGGCGGCTGCCGCTTTTCACTCCGCTCTCTGTACCCACAGGAGCAAGAGGATACGTGACCCAGCCCTGCATGCCCCTGGCACCGAGTGTCTACAGGCCAGCAGGTGCACGCTGCAGCTGCCCGAGGTGAGCAGGGCCACGCGGGGACTGGCCACTCTCCTGTCCCCTGCTGACCCTCCTGAGGCTCTGCGGGCCAGGTCCTGCTTCTGCACAGAGAGCCAGGAGGGAGGAGCCTGCTCCTCTGAGTGGTGGGGGCTCTGGCTGCGAAGTGGAGAGTGAGAGGCCGTGAGGGGTGACGCTGAGCCCTCCTGGGGATCGAGGGGTGACGCTGAGCCCTCCTGGGGATCGAGGGGTGACGCTGAGCCCTCCTGGGGATCGAGGG